GCCTAAAACGTGTTAGAACTACTCGGTATTTAACAACATCAATACTATTAAGATACATTTCAAAACATAAGGAATCCTTCATTGATAGGTACAGTCTGGTTTCGCTAAGACTTGATGATTGGTTGTTCCACATCTGTATAGTCAAATAAAGTGTTTTGACACTCTGAAAAAACTACCAGAGGGTGTAAAGACCAAGATATTTGAAATAAGTAACATGCTCTAATATTTCACCCTCGTAAAACAAACTCTCTCTTTTAAATAATCTTCCTCCTTTCCTAAAAATAACAATTTTAGTTTTCTCAACATTTACTATCAAACACCACTTACAACAATACTCAGAGAACAAATCAAGACCTTCCAATCAACGCTTGTACTGAACAAAACCATGTCGTCAGGGAACAACAACAAAAGTAACCTAATATTTAATACCTAGACACCCAGGTCCTGCGAAGATGATAAATCTTGAGCAACATCATTATGAAACAAAGAGAATAATATTGGCGACACATTCTCACCCTGCCTTACTCCGAATACGATTCATTTTGTCATTTTAACACATGACTTAACTTCAAAATACATGCTGCGTAATAAGTTCAACATGTTTTAACTTAACCCTGATGAATAAAGTTTATACCAAAGGTCCTGTCTGTTTGCATAATCGAACGCTTAGCGGAAACCTACGAATGCACTGTATAATTTGACACCTCTAGTTAAAAACATATTTACCAATCATACAATCAATAGTACTATAGCTCCCACTGAAACCTGCCTGTGCCTCTATAATAATGTCATAGTTCTAAAATCACTATAATTAATCCATAATCATAGTGGTCATATTTCAATTATAAGTTTCGTATTTTTCTCAATATTGTATTTTACAACAAGCCAAACCTATTCTGTAGATAATATAAGTCAGTTGCTGTCGATGTAACTGACCGTCATAAACCAGTGAGTCATTTTATTTTACATTAGATAACTCTTTTGATTTCGCTTTCCAGCTTCTCCTTACCTATCTTGTTTCTAATTATAAAAAAAATATCTTGGTGGTGCAATACCTTTGACAAGATGAACATATACTCGTATAAAGCATACGCATTTACAGCAAGCCATCGACTTCATTTGTCACTGAGAACGGTACACCAACAAATTGCATGTAGGAGTATGTAAATAATAATGTTTAACGTTAAGTGTGATTCTTAGATGCACGTGCGACCAATGACTCACTTGTTATTCACAATAATACGATATTGTTGGTTTTATTTATAAAGCCAACCAAGAATAGATTGTTCACCAACAGTCTTGCCAGATCGCCATAGTGCAGCTCGTGGTGGTGGTAGTGACATACCTGTTGGCTACTTGCTGTTGTTTCTGCTGCTGCTGCTGCTGCTGCGGTGATGGTAGATTGGTGTTGGTTACTTGGTGGAGATCTGCATCTGATTGTTTGGCACGAATACGTCGTACTTAATCGTACATACGGAATATATGGAGCAAATATACATGCTGACACATCGGTGGTTGGAGGTAAACCGAGCTCCACTTTCTTGACCGTGTTATTTATACATTTTGAAGATTAGTCTCTGGAATCCCGGTATTAAATTTCTTTGGGTAGCCCACCCACTTTACAAACACCTCCTTCTTACCAACAACATTCCTCGTCTTGAGAACTTTCCCACTCGCCAAACACTATCAGCAGGCCAGTCTACTTTCTGCATTTCATTTTCATAAAAACAAACTGCCTTGAATGAGATCATCTAACATATCCTGTAACTGATAAACTGGAATACCATCTCGATCGTGTCATCTTCTTATAGACTCCTTCAGTCCATTTTCTGAAAGGTGTGTCTAAGAACTTTAAACTTTAAGTTTTTTTCATAAACTTATGTTCGGTTTGAGCTTTTGGTTTGACAGATGAGATTAATGTTTCAGAGATCGAACCTAAAGATCCAATCAAGTCGCTGTTCACTAGCGCCAGGACTCTGGTGTTAAAGTTACTGACTGGACGATCAGAAATCGCCTGCGTGCAGTAGATGTGCATGCTCGGCGATCACGTGTTGTAACACCCTTAACAAAACGTATTCTTACCGTACTGAAGCTTCATTCTCGGCATTAATGTCTGATGGTTATATCTGGTTTACTGATCTGTGTAGTCTGTGGCTATAGTCTTTGACCATATCTTGTATTACAGGGAGTGATGCGCTAGCTTGTACGTGAAATATCTGTACATAGTAGTGTTGAAGGTACGAAAACGAGCTCATGATAGGATGCTTTGGTTTCAATCTGGATGACATAAGAGGTGATGGCTTTACTTTGTAAATAGGTTTTCACTTTATTATTGTTGAATTCACGACCTTTATATGACATTATGATCCCTGGATAAGGAGCAGTTGTTAATATTTTCCTCAGAGCCTTGACAACTGAGTTTTTCATTGGTTCCACCCACAGTTCCACTCTCTTCTCTTCCAAGCTCTTGACACTTGCAATAATGCATTATTTGTGATCAGACTGGGAATGCTCGTCTACAATGTGATGAACGCTTTGGGCCATTGGCTTACTTTAAACTGGTGGAGAGGTAGCCAAAATGGTCAATGTGTCTCTGTCTTATTTGCAGACTTTGGAACAGGTATTTGCAGACACAAAATGTTTATGATCGGCCCCACACAAGTCGCACTACACAAGTACAGGGTCGATGAATCAGAATCAAAGCTTTAAGAGATCGAACCTAAAGATCCAATCAAGTCGCTGTTCACTAGCGCCAGGACTCTGGTGTTAAAGTTACTGACTGGACGATCAGAAATCGCCTGCGTGCAGTAGATGTGCATGCTCGGCGATCACGTGTTGTAACACCCTTAACAAAACGACACATTCTTGCCAGAGGACAATGGTCTTCCGACGAGTCCAGATTCATGCGAACCCCAACGTGAGGCAACATGGCATATTTTTGTGTGAGTCTGTATTGATATAGGGCGGGATCCCTATGACTGAAAGAATGCTACTGCATATTGTCCATGGAAGGGTCACTGGACAGCACTACCGAGGCAACATACTGGCGCAAATAGTTGTGCCTTTTGAGTGCCATTCTGATCCCTGGTTTGCCTCCAGCAGCAAAACTTCACCAGAATGCAATGGCCAGTCATGAGTCCTGATATTTGCCACGTCTGGAGATGTGTATGCCAACGTCAAAGGCCACCCACGACGTCAGTCGATCTGACCCATCATGGATCAAGTCATCTCAGGCGTTCATTTGTTTTACTACACACGTCTATTTCTTGGCTGTGTGCGCCCTTTCAATATACCGCCAACATGTTCTGTTTATTGCCATGTTACTCATAATCATTTTTCTTAACCATTCATTATCATCACTCGATGCCACTTTGTACTTCTGTAATCACCAGTAGTATCCCTTTCTGTTTTTCGAAAGTATATTTGGTGGTTTTTTTTTTAATTTAGTGAGTTGCGTTTTGCGGCTCGTGGAACAGTACATTTACCACTCAAATCCGAGATAAGCCAAGTATATTATGCATGTGCGAATCTAGCATTTCAATCCACTTACATTCTTACGATCCTAGCCAGCATTACTGGTGCAACTCAGCACAGTGAACGGCTTCATTCATACCCCATTGGTTGTGTTTACAGACATACAATGTTGTTAAAGTAACGAAATAGTGCCATTGTACTGTAGTTCAACTGCACATGTAGTCAACAGTGTGAAATGTCAACACAAGGTGTTGTCAGCATTGATATTGCAATAGTTTCTGCATAAATACTGGGACAAAAAACTAAAACTAAATTCTATAGATTTGAACAGAATATGATGTCATCAAAAGAAGAAACATGCATGCCAAAGTTGATTTCCTCAGACCCTCAACTCGTAGGAGATGATGTTAAAACACTAAAGTCAAATCAAATTCAAATCTTAAAATATTGCGAAAAGCGAAGCATGTACTCAACATGTACCCTTTTTCAGTGATGATTTTAGGGGCCCAAACTCGATATGAAATACAAGAAATCAGGGGAGATGGAAGTGAAAATCTCGTACTACAGATGATTACCATACTGTTGAAGGTGTCGTAGCCATGTAAACCGACGAGGTTGGTAGCCTCGCCAATACCCCTTTTCACACTACTCTGGGAGCATTGCAAACCGAAAGAAACCCACTCAGTTTGTCAAAAACAGTAACGCATAATGATGCCACACGGTTTTGACACATACCGTTTAATGCGTTTACAATGATACAGGTAACGTGCGCTTTGGGTTGCTAGTGGAGGCATGTGATGTTTACAGATGAATCTCGGTTTCGACTGCACCGATCTGATGGATTTTTTCGTATGTATGAACGTGGACGTCGGAATGAAGGATATGCCAATAACACAGAGACACCAACGTTATTTACATGTGAAATGTCATTGTTCTTCTTTCATCTTTGTGGGGCGGTCGGGTAGCCTAGTGGTTAAAGCGTTCGCTCGTCACGCCGACGACCCGGGTTCGATTCCCGACATGGGTACAATGTGTGAAGCCCATTTCTGGTGTCCCCCGCCGTGATATTGCTGGAATATTGCTAAAAGCGGCGTAAAACCATACTCACTCACTCACTCACTTTCATCTTTGTGGCCTCATTGTAGCTTGAGTAAATATGCTGCATGTTTCCCATATTGACTGCCTGTCCAAATAACAATCAGCTTCTGTTCCTTAAAACATCCAGTTGCTTGTACCTTGTAGTAAAACAAGTTACAGAAGCTTTTGTTGTTGAGTATTTGTTTAGTCCTGCTACTGACTAAAGATGTACCAAATTCCGATACGTTTACATGGCTGCCGGGACAGCTATATTGAAAATAAAATTCGAACATCTTGAACTTATTTCATAATTCTGGAGACATGTATGTGAGGTTAAATGGTTTTCGACTAGATGATGTTTACAGTATGAGGAAATGTAGTTTGAATCTAAGTGCGTGAGGTAAAAGTTTACATAGTATCGGCAAAATTACAACCATGTAGCGCTAGAATTTAATCAAATGTTTATTGTATGATAGGCCATATAGACCCAAATACATGAAGTGAATACAATACAGTTAGGATAATTTTACAAATAGAATCACATGTTTTATTTCTGTACATGTCTTGAAGGCATATTTGAATTATAACATAACCGATTTTAAATCTTGATGATTTTACGTTGCCATAAGGCGAATTAATTGTTGGTCTGACGGTCGAATTACATATTTATTTGGTATGTATTGCTTTTAAGGATGGACATATTAGAGCATAGTCAAAGTACAAAGGTGAAATCAAAGACAACACTTAATTTACCACACACAAAAACGGAAAATGTGTGTTCAGCACGACTACTGACTACTATAAATAAAACACATAACATTTTTAGTAAATATGGCTGAGTAACAGGCATAAAGTGGATTGCAATATGGCTCTTGTGGCGGTCATATTGAAAATTAGGATTGGATCCTCTTTAACAAATTCAGGTGTCATCATTAGTTAGAATAAGCATGTGAAGTATTATAATGCGGTACAGTGGTTTCCTGAGGAGATGACATGTACAGTGTGAGGAAATGAATTTGGACTTCAAGACATGGTCAAAGCATAAATGTTAAATCAAGTCAAATTTCAATTTCAAAACCTTGCCGAAAGGGGAACATGTGTATTAAGCCCGCCTAATATCAATTCATATATACAGCTCACAGTTTCAAAAGAAGAAGAGGCTGTAATACTTAATTTGAACTAAGTGAATTGGTGCTGCATCGTCAAACACCAGTGTTATATAGTCCTCAGAATGTCCATATTATTACAGTTATGAAAAAATGAGGGTTTAACGTCGCATGAAATAATTAGGGAACAAAAGAAGAGAAACACATATTACACTTTGTACTTTGTAACATATACTTTTACAGAAACTCACGTGAAACTTTCGAGGATCTAAATTATTTCATGTTTCACTGCTTTGTGAACAAAAAACCTGCATGTTACTTTTTACTGATAAAAGTATCACAAAACGCCTTTATTGTTTTTGATAGAGTATGACCTTTGACATTTGCATGAGATCGTTTTATTGGTAAACTGAATAGCATGGACTTTTTCACAGGTTTTTTGGGAAAGTTTATGACACATGTCGTTTTCAGAAATCATTTAATTAAGAAAATGCCGAGACTCAATGAAATGCGAAACAAACTGCTACTGGTTGACTTGCAGGTATCAAGTCCCAAGACATAACAATGTTGGCCAGAACACAAACGATGACGATATACACGACAAGGCACAAACAGATATTAACTGAATTATATATTTACATCGAATCGGCAACATTTCATCCGCATACATTTGATACGAAAATAATAGTACTTTTAGAAAATATAACATCTGTCGACAAAAGACAGTTAAACAACTAGATTATCAGTGTTGTACTTAAAACTAGTATGTGAAAGTAAAAGCATAATTATAACTATGCATAACAATACAATATGGAAACGGGCTATAGATCACCAACAACCAAAAGGTGGATGATGTCACAGAATGAATTTCATGAAAGCCACATATGGTTTCTTGTTTAGAGGAGTATTGTTATGTTTCAGTAAATCGACACTAATGTCAAAATCAGTTCTTCCACTAATAGGTCTTTGCAAGTATCTGCAAAAATAGGAACATTTCCTCAAGTCTTAAAATACCACCATGTACTCCTTAGGATCCGAATTTACGTATTTTGACCTAAACCTATTCAAATCAGGGCCCCTTCCTAGAGAAGGCAGATACCAATTTTGATCATACATTCATCAACACCTTTCGAGAAAAGTGTAGCCACAAACGTCTGAGTGACCTTGAACTTCTCAATACACGTGCCAAAAGAATTCCGGAAACATAATACTATTTTTTAAGTATTATCTGGGACAATGTATTTTTGTGGACGAAATGTTATATGTGTAAATCTGTACATTCAGAAATGCTAAGTACACATTTTGACAAGCCATTACCTCTTACACCTCTGATAGAGGACAGTGTTTTAAGTTTGTTCTGCTGGTAATCCCATGTATGCGATGAGCTATTTCTTTTACGAGCCTTTGGACAACAACCATTTACATAAGCAGATGATGGAGAAATTACAGCAATACTTTAGACTGACCAGGGAAAAGTTGCCTAGGCCAGCCGTACGGATCACCCGCTACATGTGCCGATTGAAACTAGCCGCATCCTCTATCGGAAGGGCTTTGTAGAGGTGACTTGTATTTCACTGTTAACAAGACAAATACAGAGAAAGAGGCTTTTACTTTCACATATTGCATTGAATGCAATGTTGAAATTAAATGTTACAATACCTCTGAATTGAGGAATAAGAACCAATTGTGAACAAAATAATGATTTTTCGCAATTTACCTGCCACTTAGGTTACCAAAACACATATGCACTATTAGAATCGCTCCCAATATTTATCATATTTTGTGATCAAACCGCACCGCACATGTAACCGGAGTAGCAACAGTACCCGATAAAAGGTATCTTAGGGTAAGACGTTAATCCCTTTCCTGAAACCCACAAACATAGATCAAACCCAAAATAATTAGGACGAATCTGGAATCGAACTCACGAGCATATGATTTTGGCTCGTCGAAGGCCGAAACTTTACACAGCGAATTTTGGTGGTGCCTCAGACGGTCAGCTGGTATTCAACCTGTTGAGCTAACATTATGTATGGACAAAAGAATAAGGCACTGGAAAGAGGACATTGTAATGGTATTTTTAGCAGTGCAAATGTGGTATTTGCCTGTCTAGACATGGATTTCAATCTTGTAAAGGGCTCAACAGCAAAAGTAGAACATGATTGAAATATGATACTGTGAAAAACAAGATGGCTTAAAGAAAGGTGATATGTTGGGGAGAATCATTCAAACCCTAGGAACCGGCTTAGGTGCCACACCATGATGTTGTTGTCATAGCCCACGCTGTAGATAGCGCCACGGGAAACCTGCAATACAAAGTTCATATAATGGTTTACAGTCAGATAAGAGCAAATGTATTTACTTCAATTCATTCTTTTCAAACATGGTACAAACACAACTGACAGTGTGTGGTAGGTCCAGTGGTTTGCTGCAAAGCTTGTCAGTTTTCGTGGCAGGAATAGTTGATTGCGAATCTGGAAATTGGTGTCATTACGATTCTTAGTTTTGTCAGCAGAATACACTTGTGGTCTTGATATGTGTCCCGCATAAAACCAAGCTATGAGTTAACTGAAACACTGTCCCAGCAGCGTTAAACGTTTACACACATGTACAAGTCGTATTCAAAAGGTCAATATACCTACTACATAAATTGGGATGTCCTGGAACTGTTTATTGTGAATGCATATATTATTCCCAATTTACAGCGTGGAAATGTTTTACAAATTGATTCAATACCCATGGAAGGTTCAAGAATTTCCAAAACGAAACGCCAAACCTGTTGTCCTTTGCTGTCTTAATCATGTCAATGTTGAGTGTTATATTGATAAGCAAGCCTTCCTAGTCTATAAGGTTTGTTTACATATCTTATTCCCACGACTTCGACAATACAAAAGTGACACACTCCTGAACAAACTATGGTTTATTTCTCCTGACCTTAATATGTTGCATCTTACCGAGGCAAAGGAGTTAATTGACCACCATTGCCGAACTAGCCTAGAGTTTTGTGGCTCGGTCGTTGCGTCACTAGTGGCTATTACGAGTTATGTCCCTTCTATGTACCTCCTATTGACCAATCAGATCCCAACTATCATATGGCAGCTCCCACTCATGACAATCTGATCAATAATTAAGATATTTTTTTTGCAATATAACGGGTCTTACCCCGAGAAGTGATATTCTGCCAATTATTTACATTTAGTACTAACTACCAAATGACTTTATCGCGCGTATCCAAACCATGGGCTAATTACGTCTGTAACCCAATCACCCCCCGTAACTCAATCACCCCGGGCCACCACTCGGCACCGTGCCCGGGGAATAATCCCGCGCAAGCATCATCCCGCCCTTTGTTAGTCCGTCATTCGCGAACAGCCCTTCCCCAAGTACACACGTGTGTCACTGTATCTAATCGCTTTCGCTTTGTACGTTTCCTTGGTACCCAGTCGCGACCGTTTCGCCGATTACGCTTTGAATACCATCTATTCCAACACTCGCCGTATCGCATTTACACAATCGCGACCGTTTCGCCGATTATGCTTTGAATACCACCTAATCCAGCACTCGCCGTATCGCATTTATTCCGTTCTACTCCCGAACTTCACCCTCGGGACAATTTTACGCTTGTGGAATACCAACTCACCACCTCGACCTTTCGTGATGCCTCCCAAGAGAAGAGCAGCCGTCAACCACAAGCTTGTGAGGGGAGCCAAGCAGGCCAGGACAACCAGAAGACAAACCCCGGGAGTACACATTGTACAGGAGGCAACAGCTGATGGTGAGTCTGCCAATTACGGAAATATCGAAGGTGGCAACAGAATTAACGTACAATCGGCGCAGCTTGTAAATGCCGCGCAGGCTGCCAACTCGGCTACCCAGGTAAACGAGCAACTGGAAAAAATACTCCAGTTGCTGGAACATTCAGGGCCCGGCCCGGTTAGCGCAAACCAACAGGTAAGGCTTGGTTTTAGTTCTCCCGCCATTTCGCCCAACATAGGGAGAATCCCCGATGCTTACAACGAGGCCGACGGTGACGCGGCTTGGCCAGCCAATCACATCGCAGGATACGGGGATTCCCTTTCCTTCCGTGCGGACGGAATAGACGCGCACGTCAAACAAACGGTGAGGGAAAAAAATCTGGCGTGGCGAGTATGTCGACCTCGGCACAATCCTACCAAACACCGAGGGAAGTCACGAGGACGGTACGATTACCATGGCGTACGACTCCTCAGGTAAGGTAATTTTTAAACCAATTAAGCAGCAACCAAAGCGCCTGTCCCTGGCAAGCTGGACTTCAGATTTCCACATTTTCATGTGTATATATGTTAGTAGGCACTCCGAGGTCCGCACAACCCAGGGGTTGCTGTCCTACATGGAAACCATAAGAACGGCGGCACTTCGATTCGGGGGGGATGCCTGGTCAACCTACGACCAACAATTCCGACACAGAATGTCAAGGGACCCCTCACGACGCTGGGACAACATCGACGGGGAGTTGTGGCTAAAGTACATGGTAACACAGCCGGTACTACAACAAGAATCAGGCGGACGGGGCGCAATGACACGCGTACAGGGGGACATCGCCAGTCAGGTATGCTGGGATTTCAAAAAATTTGGCTGTAGCAGGGTCAACTGTAAGTACACTCACAAATGCGGTAAGTGTGGCAAACATTCCCATAGCTCTAGGACCTGCTTTCGAGGGAATGGGGTCCAACCAGCCTTTTGCCTAACAGAAAACCAGCCGTCAAGGCAGGTAAATTCAATGGCCCCTTCCCCCGTGGATCTCAATGAAATGGCACCCTGGTTACGCCAATATGCTAGGGTCAATTACAGAGATGCAAATTATTTATGGGTAGGTTTTAGCTCTGGCTTTAAGCTCGAGTTCCAGGGAAGCCGCACGGGTCGCCTGGCACGAAACTTGCGATCAGCCACGCACCAAGACACGGCAGGCTACGTGAAACAAAAACTACAAAAGGAAGTCGACCTTGGCAGGATGGCGGGCCCCTTCAAGGACACCCCCCCTAGACAACCTCCAAGTATCCCCAATAGGCCTGGTGCCCAAGAAGCAGCCAGGATATGGTCAGCACCTGGGTAAGCATGCGGAGGAATTCCGTCTAATTCACCATCTATCCTATCCCAGGGGTAAATCTATAAATAACTTCATAGACACAGAGGCCTGCTCCGTTGTGTATGCCAGATTTGATGAAGCTACCCATATGGTTCAACAACTGGGAAAGGGAGCACTACTAGCAAAATTCGACATTCAGTCGGCCTTTAGAATTATACCAGTCCACCCATCCGATTTCGAGCTGCTAGGCATCAGATTCGAAGATGAGTTCTATTTCGATAAATGCCTACCATTTGGCTGCTCCATATCTTGCGCCATATTTGAAACGTTTAGTACCTTCTTGCAATGGTGCATGCAATCGCATCTTCCAACGTGTCCGATCATGCATTACCTGGATGACTTCCTAACGGGGGGCACAGCAGGCACCAGCCACTGCTCAGACAACCTCAACGGATGCGTGAATACACTAGAACAGCTTGGGGTTCCTACTGCGCACGACAAGACGGTGGGCCCCACAACAAAACTGACATTCCTAGGGCTGGAAATCGACACCATTGCAATGCAGATCAGAATCCCAGAGTCCAAGATCAAGGAGGCAACAAGGGAAATCCAAGACATCCTGTCAACAGGTAACATCAAGGTCACAAAAAGGGCCCTTCAGTCCCTCATAGGCAAGCTTAACTTTATGTGCAGGGCTATACCAATGGCAAGGGCATTCAGCCGCAGGCTAACCGATCTGCTTAGCAAAGGTAAGCAACCATTTCACCACATTAGGATTACCAGCTGGGTCAAGGAAGACCTACAAATGTGGTTAACATTTCGTACGAGTTATAAAGGCATTTCAGTGTTTCAGGACCAACTATGGGTGGACAGCGATTTCCTCCAGCTGTTTTCAGACGCAGCGGGTGGCGCCGGCTTTGGGGCCTACATGCAGGGCAAATGGTTTAACGGCGCATGGCCATCCCAGTGGGTGACGGATGGAACTACACGGGACTTGACGCTACCTTGACATGGTGGCATCAATCCTTCGGATACAACCCAGCTTCCTGACACCAAGATCATCGTATCCTCAATGCTGCACATGCGCTACTGGCACGATGCCAGGGACCCACTAAAGATCGAGGGGATGCGGAAGAATATCAACCGTCGACTGGCCAACCGAGTCAAAGAGCTCGGCAGTACAATGGTGCCACATCCCCAGATCCTGGTACGCCTGGGAGGGCGTCCACCTCAGTGACAAAGGACCGTGTGTGTTTACGGACAATTTATTGCATGCCCTGGCGCTTGTTATCTCCACAGGTTTGTGTTTCCTTTCAGTACATAGGCAAGCCGGGCAACAATGCTATCTCCGCGTATCGCGTGGCCGTGGGTGTGGGGTAGCACTCTGGTGCTTTGTGGCGGGGTTCTTGTGGGCTACACTGCTAGTAACAAATTAACTTGCTTCCAAATTAATACTCGTGCTTAAGGCTACCTGCTTTTCAGCGGGAACCTTTCCGGGGTTACCTGCTTCTCAGTGGGAACCTTGTCTTTCCCGACTTCAGCCGGGGAATCGTAAAATAACATACGTTGGGGCAAACAATTGCCACGTATATGGGCCCGGCGGCGGAAGTCGTCTTGTCAAGCGGTAGCTGACAGTTGGGTCCGCGGCGTGGGAGCCGCACAATGGTTTTGCTAATGGGGCCGGGCAGTGGGATCTGCTTTGGCCGGCTACCTGGGGCCGGGCAGCGGTAGTCTGACTTAGGCCAGCAGCGTGGAGCTGCTTTTGGCAGCGTGGGAGTTGCCAAGCAATGGTAGCGGTTAAATATGCTACCGTGGGGGCCGGACAGCGGGAGCAGTCTCAGGCCAGCAGCGCTAGCTGCAATCGCCGTTGCCCACGCGCGTGGCCATGGCAACGGTAGCATTTTGGTATACACAATTAGCAGCTAAGTAGCCCACTAGTACCTGCACACCCTCGGCCATTTAACCCAATCCCATCTTCTGTTTTTATTATAGGCACGGGCATCCACGGCTCGGTGGCCCGTGCCTCTCCTTGGCATATCGCGGGATAAATAAAAATTCATTTATTTTGTACGAAACATATGAATCAAAATTTATGCAACAGTTCTATTTCCTTTAAAAACCAATAATTAAACGAGAATTATTATTATTTAAAAGACCCTGAATAGTGGATGATTTGAAATATTGATCCCTTGTGATGGAAAAATCAACACAGTCAGACAGGACATGCCTGACCGCGATTCTTTCATCACAATGGATACAGAATGGAAGATCTTCACCAGTCAATAAATATACATGAGTGGAGCGTGAATGGCCAATACGACATCGTCGCCTTATGACCTCTTCAAATATGGACTGACAACTCCAGTAGGTGTAACCGATAGTTAGTTTCATTTCATGTAACTTATTGATACCTACTTGGGTGTCCCACTTCTTTTGCATTAGAGGTAACGAATGTAACATCTAATTACAGGTTTATAAACCCAAGGATAAGAAGTGGCGTCACTGATTTGCTGAGTGCTGTTTTTGCAGCATTAGTCATTGTGTTATCAATGATACCAACACGGCTGGGTAGCCAACGAAAGACGATAACATATTGCCCAGTAGCAAGATCATTAAATAAATTTAGAATTTCGATTAAAAGAGGATGTTTTCATGACATATTTTTAATAGCCTGCAGGCACGTAAAGAAATCTGAAAAAATAATGATTTGTTTATGATTAGATTGGTTGTAAATATATTTTATTCTGTTAATGGCATTTGCTACTGCTGTGAATATTGAACTGTTATCTGGTAATCTTGAAGGTGAGGATGAAATTGGGTTAAACCTCGCGTCCAAAATTATTGCACTTATATAGCGACGTGCATGCACACGTGTGTGTGGCTGCTTGTCCGGACTGCAGTTTTACAGACACAATCCTTGTTTTAGCCCCTTAATGCCGAGCCGCAGACAGTGTAACAACAAGTACCATCTTTTAACGTATTTTGGTATGACGTGGCCGTGGATCGAACCCCGGACGTTCTGCTGCCCGAGCGGACGCTCTACCACTAGACCACGGAGGCGGTAGGTAATCTTGAAGATGTTGTTCTGGATCCAATGATAGTGGCACTGGCAACTGCGCCACCATCCTTTGATCCATCTGTAAATATAGACTTAGAAGTGATTGTATTCTTGTGGGTAAATTAGTTGGTTAGTTATCTGATTTCTTTAGTGTTTATAATGTAAGGTCTGCTTCTGACCATTTGCCAAGGAGGCGATGAAAAACGTTGATAGTAAATGTTTTAGTACCTGATAAGTATCTACACCTGTACCATAACCTTGCCTAAAGCGGTATGAAACTCATGAATGGGAACGATTCCATTATTATCCTCACCATTATCAGAAATAAAATAATGTTTTTCCTTTTTTCTTTTTATTCTTTAAATCTATGATATTTCTGTGTTCACTTTATAGAGGAGAAATGTTTTGCAATAGTTTCACTTCATTTGCGATGACATTCCAAACAGAAACGTCACTACATGGATGACAAACGGTGAAGGTATTTTTCATCACATTAAACGATGCTATATACACACGGCTGTGCAGCAAGGGAGATATGTCCAGTTGAATTAATTTTTTTGTTTTCGCAACCATCAAATGTATTCTTACATATGATTATGTACACATAGTGTATGAGTGTATGATGCGTCGTCTACGTGATGAACACATGTGGACGAATGGCAGGCTCCAAACTGAGAGAACTCAGCGAGATGCAGCCAATATGTGCAATGTGTCTCAATCTGTGATTTGCAGACTTTGGACTGGCATTTGCACACTAAACATGTCAATGATCGGCCCCACACCAGTTGACTTAAGTTAACTACACAAGCCCAGAAACCAAGCCTTAAGAAATCGAGCTCAAAACCGATCAAACTGCTGTTCACTTGCACATAGTCACCCTAGTTAGAAATCGTCCGCGTGCAGTTAATCTGCAAGATCGGAGACCAGGTGTTGTACCACCATTAACAATCGACACATTGTAGACTGACGCCAATGAAGGTTAGAGCGTAGAAACGGGATAGAATAGCCGATGTTCTTGTGTAATGTTGTCAGATAAGTCCAGATTGACTCTGGGCAAGGCTTTCCCTATGGGGCTAAATGTTACCTCATATATTGACCCTGATGTTGACCCCGATGCCATCACAGGGGGAATCACCCCGTCTAAGCATGCATAAACTAGGTCGGCGCATACTCTTCAACATGTTACATACAGGGATACACATACATTCAATCTCATACTAAAAGTAGGAGATAGAAGTATCCGGAAATAACTTTTAAAAATTCAAAATTGTAAGAGCTATTAGTTTCCAGTAATAGTTGTATTATAATAGTATGAACAAATTACAAACACAGTTCAACCGGAAGTGAAGTATGACAGTAGATGTTATGACAACGTACGATTTTGAAGAACGATAGGTGTAAGATGTGACATTTTTGGATCACGATTTGTTAAACATCCATTCACTCGACGAGGCATACTGTGGATGAGTCTCCCAATGGCAATTTGAGTGAGTCCTCCTCTAGCAGCGCCTGGCCAAGTTCAGGCACCGTGGTCGGTGGCCTATGACGTTGACACACACGTCTCCCTTTCATGCCCCAGACGTATTCAGTGGGGAAAAGGTATGGCTCATTGATGGCCATGGCAGTCTATGGATATTGTGCTGCTGTGGGTGAGCATTCACGATTCGTACACGATGAGCATGGGCGTTGGGATCCTGCAAGACAATAGTCAATTCATACAGACCAGACATCAAAGCGTGTCAGTAGGTTGTCTCGATAGTACTGCCCAGTGATCCATCCTTCCTTGCAGATGAAGTTGGGTTCAGTCATAGCGATGCAAACCCACACCATAACCGATCAACCGCCAAATCTGTAATGAGGTCTCAGTTTGACATTGGCTTGACCTTTATTTCGACGTTGCCAGACACGACTACGCCCATCACGTTAGACACGTGTCCAGCGACGATGACCCCAGCTTGGATGACACCAT